CAATACATGACACACAGCTGCAGCAAGAAAACTCCTTTAACATGAACATTACAAAACACATGTAGAGTACCAGATCAGTTAATCATTTTTAAAAAAATATTCACTCTCTCACACTGACTACTCTTACTCTTTTGCTCTCTATCTCTCTTGCATTTCTAAATTTTGAGATTCAAATCCTTGCTACGTGAGCCACTGGGCCTGTTTACTGTAATCATCAAGACAATCACAGTCTGTCGCATATATTGGAAGTTCAATATTAAACTTTGCAGTGGAAAACAACTGTTGCTCCTAACTGTGACTGCGTGTTTCAACATGCATCCTATCCATGGGATCCAAAACAATCACCATCCTAAAAATATGGAAATCGGCTCTGCAGCCCTGAGCCTTCAAGCTTTGCCAGTGAGCGAAGAAGCTCCTTCGGATGGGTTGGGACATGTAGATACTCTCATCTTTGTAAAAGCGAATCTGAAGGATGACTGAGAGTCCATGTGGCTTTACACACTGCAAATCGTGTGAAATAGGTCATATGACATGGTGGGGACCACAAGTGAGGTCAGATTTGACTTTCAGTACTGGCCGACCCTTGGACAATGTACTCTACTGTCTATTAAATTGGAACAGCTTGTAAGTGTATACTAAAATTGGTTATGCAATGGAGGATTTGTATATTATACTGCTTACTTGGCTGTAGTTTCAATGGCCTGATCTTTTCTCTTTCACCCACACATTAGAACACTGTGTCTTTCCCTTTAGGGAAAAAACTTTTCTGTCAATCCAACTGAATGCAGAATTTTTTCATCACATTCCAGAGGTGGGAAAGCAACGGTGAAGCGTTGGAGATGCATATCGCCCGAGCCAGTTTACGGGGAGCCTAGCCCTTCGTATTTTCCATTATCAAATAAATTATCCCAAAAAAAAAAAAACCTACAAGTATCTTATAGGTAAAACACTACAGTGAAATGCTAACATACTGAGTGCTGATTGTTTGGCGAGTTGATCAGTTTATTAGCCCAGTAAGACCACATGCGGGTAAAATTTCTCAGGTGAAAAAAAAAAAAACATTTCACTTAAATGGTGAAAGCAAAAGATGTTAGAAATCAATACTTTTAACAATTATTAAGTAGTGTTTAATTTTGTGTCGTGCCAAGTTTATTGAGGTGAATTTTAACCCTGCAAATTCACGAACCTCAGAAGCATAAGCCAATAGAAAACTAGATAACAAGCTGTGGTGTCTTCTTTCGGAAAAGAATACTAAATGGAGAAACTGTTCCAGTCCAACTCCTGAGTCAGCAGTTGCAAAAAAATCAAAGCATTAACTAGCTAACGTTAGCCATTCACCAAACTATACATTACCTCCAAAACCACATCATATCAGGACTGCCCTTACACAAATGATTTTTGGTCCACCCTGGCGAAGAAAATAGCAAGGTGACAGTCCAGCGTGCTCACAGCCTAAAGCAGTTTGAGCTCACTGACATTAATGTACAAGACATTGTTAGACAATTTTATAGCAGGGGATCAAAAGGGACTCTCTTCACTAAAAATTCTCTGATAGCGCTACTAGGAGTGTCACAACACATCCATTCTAAAGACTATGTGACCGATCCAACATACATAAATTGATCCATACTGTGAAACTTTCAATCCATGTTGTAAAATATCATAAAACCAGATTTAGTGCCAACTATCCAAGTTTTAGATTTAGTGCCAACTATCACCTCTGGAATGTAAGCCTGAATTTTGTCAATACTTTTGTCCATTTTTTATAGGTAACTGGTGAGCTACAACCTTCCATTACTTCCATTACAAACATGTCTTCACTGATCGACTACATTTGCAGTAAGCGAACACATTGAGAAGCAAACTGTATAAATTACATTGTTTTGCCAAAAACTGTTCCTTTCAAATATATTTTGGTGGAGTTTATTGCGAATTAAAACAGAATAGTAAAATGTGTTGGCTGGATGTGTTGATCTTATCAGTTGTACGAGGAACTATATTGCCTTGCATCATAATAACATCTGCAAATCATTGCCTTATCGAAATTGTATAGTTTACACGTAATGGTTGCCTCACAGACTTCAGCATGAACAGAGTGTCTGAAGCTCCAGCAAGCACGCTGGCTTTGCGGGTGGCGTGCTGCAACACGCCCGGTGGCCTGGCACACACACCATTATCGCCCAGGCCCAAGAGCCTGCCTGAACCTGCACTGGTCCAACGCTCGCTTTCTCCTTCTTCATACTCATCATTTTCTGGGATGAGCATCCTTTTTTCTCTCCAATCTTTATTTGCTTACAATTTCCTTTTTCCCTCTCTCTGTCTTTGTCTTCTGTTCTGTCTGTCTGTTCATTATTTCATTTTGATCATTTCAATTTGTTCTGTTTCTTGTAGGTATTTGCTCATTAGCATCCCTTAGTTTCTTTCCTCTCTTTTCACACTGTGAACTGTGCTTGTGCAGTGGATGTTGCAGCACCCTCTCTACTAAACAGCTGAGCATCACCACTATTCTGCTACCAAATTCCACAGTATATTAATCTCTTCCTCTGTTAACTGCAGCCCTTTTACTCCTTTTACCAAATGGTACATCAGCACTGTATATTTTCAAAGAGAGACAGATTAACATCTACTAAGACAATTGTAAATGATGTGAATAAAGGAGGGTGTGTCACAGCTAGGCGTGTTGAGACTCTTCTCACTGCTCACAGCTGCACAGAATGATTTATGCTTGTCTGTGTGTGTGTGCGTGTGTGCTGAATGTCCATGGTTAACCCTCAAGTAGCCTCAATGTCCAGGCAATTGTTGCACTTGTGTGTTACCCTATATTATTATATTGTACTATGAAAAGTAGGATTTATGGTTTCCATGTTCAAAAACGAAAGGTAAAAAGTATGATTGTTTGCCAACTTGTTAAGTAGTTTTTCCTTAGTTTTACTCTCCTTAAGTGATAAACTTACTTGATAGGAAATTCACTGATTTAAATTTACATTTCTGATCAATCGGCTAAGTGATTAGTTTGCATTTTAAGTGATAAACAGGGAATCCACAGGTCATTATAAATGTTTAACAGTCTTAAGATTATACTCAAGGGGAAGCCATTGGCACTCAAATATTTTCTGTGTTATCACTTAGAGCAAACCAGCAGGATCTAACAAATGCATGTATAATTGTAGCTACAAATTTCATGCTTAGGAAGTAAAATGATAGGTTTTCTGTTACTATATATATATATACATACACCCTAACCCCTAAAATATCTTTTTGGTTTCTTTTAAACTAAAGCTTAAGAAAGATTTATTCAGCATGACTTTAAGTTTTTCATAAAAAAAAACTTTGTTCAAAAATTCCTGTCCAACATTTTAATTTCACTCCCAAAACACAAAGAGTTTTAGTTTACAGGCGGGGCCTTATTTTAGCCACACCCCTGAATCAGAGCAGGAAAGAAGACTGCATCCCTTTCCCTACTGGCCACATGGTGGGCCTATCAGTATCAGTATTAAGAGTTAAGCCATGTTTTAAAGAAAGTATGGGTTTAGTATGCATGGGAAGTGCTGATGGCCTTACTGTAAATGGGTATTAAATGAGGAAGTGATCTCATTGGCAGGTTGAAGAGACACCGCCAGCAGGCAATAAGAACTGCGCCAACTAAAGAAGTGAACTACTATATAAAGTGTATGTACACAGTGATACTCGATGGAGATCATAAGAGAAAAAAGAAATCTGAAAGAGTCAATCAAGCTCAGCAACAGTGAGGAGGGAACATAACTGAATTGAACTGAAATCATAGGGTATCAAATGCAGAAACTCGCTTTGACTTGAATGCAACAGGCTGGTCAATTTTAGATGTACCTTAGACATAAACCACAAAGCTTCTAAAACAAACATCCTTTGCTTGGTTTAACAAGTGTTCAAACACGTACAGGGGAATAAATTATTTCTCCATATTTCATAGATTTGACAAACTGACAGTTGCGTATAGGACTAATGTGAGAGGTTCTGTAGAAAATGAATTTTTTTCATAGTGCAATGATACAGTTAATTAAAAAAGTATTAGTTTACTTTTTTGGAAGTGCTTTTGCAACAAGAAGACTGTTCAATTCACCATTCATGTTTTTTCACGTTCACTGTGCTGACGCACCTAGCATTACAGAATCTGAATCATATTAATTCAAGTCCACACAAAGTTGGTTTGTTCCCTTAAGGTTAGATTTTGGTTTCCTCCGGTGAATATTTGCAATGTCTTTATAGAGTCAGACAAGCTCTGACATGCTGTGTGTGTGTGTGTGTGTGTGTTCGTCTGTGTGTATGTGATGAATTTGCTTCTCCACCGAGAACCAAAAAAGAAGTCAGGTGGCCCCTGAATCTCAATTCAGTTCTGAAATGAGTCTTTCAAAAACCATGTCAAACTGCTATGACATCCTAAACATTCACTTTTAACAAATGCCTAACATAAGCGTTTTCCCATTAGAATAGTTTGCACTGTGATATGATGTTGATTTATGTACTTATTAGTGGTAGGAGGTATGACTAGTGTTTTAATAAATCATGCCACAAAAAGCTTTTCTGAAAATATCACTAGTATTGTCAGTACAGAACACTGACCAACTGCATGTTTTATTCAAAAGAAATTTAGACGGTGCCACCTAAGGCTTTGCTCTTTTTTTAGGAGACCATCAGTTTTGCATCCAGGTGACGTCAAAAGTCCAAGAGAGCATAACTGACCTTGTTTAACTGGATGTAGAGATTCAGAGTGAAATGTTAAAAAAAGCCTTGTGCTTACAGCTTTTATGCCATTTTTGAATTGCTGGTGCATCCAGAATAACATAATATCATAATATATATGTTTGATTAAAATGTCTTCAAATATCATGATAAAATATTTTGCCATATTTTTCACCCCTGGCGCTTACAGAAATTTTCAACAGAACATTTTTTTTCTCTATTTTCACTTCTTAACGTATTAATAATTACTTTACACATTAAATCCTGTTTTTGTTTTGTAGTACTCTCCATTGCTCAAGAAGCTGTACTGTCAGATTGCTAAAACCTGCCCAATTCAAATCAAGCTGGCCTCCGCCCCCCCGCATGGCAGCGTAGTACGAGCCATGCCCATCTACAAGAAGGCAGAACATGTGACTGAAGTTGTCAAGCGCTGCCCCAACCATGAGCTTGGACGAGAATTCAACGAGAGTAAATACAGAAACCTTTACCATATACCTTTATTCGATACTTATTGATAATAAAGATAATTAGGCCTGTCTGTCAAACTCTAAGGGCCTATGTGTCCCTACTCTTTATAACTATTAACCTCTAACCTTTTTGCCAGTAGAACCACAAAGCTGCTACAGATCATTGAACATTGACCTCTCTCCTTTCATCCTTTCTTCTTTTATTCCTGTCTGCCTCTCCATCTTCTTCTGCCTTTTTGCTGCCACCTACTTCACCTCTTTCTTTATCCAGGTCAGTCAGCTCCAGCCAGCCATTTGATAAGAGTGGAGGGGAATAATTTGTGTCAGTATGTGGATGATCCAGTAACGGGCAGACAGAGTGTCCTTGTACCGTACGAGGCTCCACAGGTTGGTGTCAGTTGCTTCATGTGAGACTCAAATAGACATATATTCTGTATTAGCTGATGGATTGTACGGTCACTCACAGCACAGACATATGGATACATGCATGAGCATAGGTGATATACAATAGGACTGCAACAATAAGCAATGTTTTTAAATGAATAAATTGGGACAGAATTATTGACAAGTGTTGATTTATTCATTATTTAAAATCACCAATATTTTGCAGGTACATATTTTGTATATCTGGGACACACCAGAGGGGGGCGACAAAGCCAAAATGCCTTTTTATATGAGTCTTGAGTTCTGAAAAGTCAGCATTTGAAACACTGTGAAGACCTCACAGTGAACATTAAGCTATAACTAAGCACTAAACTATAATAAATACTGCTTCTGATAAAACATTTTCCTGTGTGCCAGCACACTAGTAAGATACTCTCTCCCGCCATGACATAACAGGCAACTCACTGCTGTGTTTGTAAATTAAGTAAAACCTGGATTGGAGTTTCTGTTAAAGGATCAGAGCCTTATCAATCTGTTAAATACTCAGTATATCACAGTGTTAAATACCAAAAAGATGCTTTATTCTCTTAATACCATTATACAAAGCTTAGGGTGATACTTTTACATGGGTTTGCAGACATGCTCTGACTGGCCTTAGACAAGCCCAGAAATTATAGTCTCACTAACTACACCAGTTGCAATTCAGGTCAATTACAAGGTCCTCTTTTCACTTAGTAAGGACTTTGTTGCATTGTTTTGTGCATGCTGGTATGCTAACATACTGCTACCACCTAGAGGCAAGAATAAGAAAATACTACTTCTTATTCTATGGCGTCCACATTGGTTTACAGATTTTTTTTTTTATCCAGGATTGCCTAAAGTGGTAAATGTGCTTCATGAAAAGTTGAAGTCTTATATAAAAATTGCACTGAAATATCCAAAATAAAGTAGTTAAAGAAGATTACACAAAGTAGCGTTAGTTAATCTCTCTCTTTCTCTCTCACTTTTTCTCTCTAGGTGGGAACAGAGTTTACAACAATTTTGTATAATTTTATGTGCAACAGCAGCTGTGTCGGTGGAATGAACCGCAGACCCATTCTCATCATTATAACCCTGGAGACAAGAGAGTTAGTATTCATTTTTCTGTCTTTACTGTGGTATTTATGACTCTCTGGCCTAAAACAGAGCATCTTTCTGTTGTTCTTACAGCCTTACGTTTCTGGCAACAATATTACATGATGTATTTTCTAAGAATTAGAAGTTTCTGCAAATTCTTTAAACTGGAGAAATGGAAAAAAAAGTTTACTCCTTAATAAACAAATACAGAATTAAACACAGCAGAACAGCTGAGGACAATGACATGAGCTGAATGGAGAACAGATCAAGAATATGCCCTTCAGCGCTGTAATAATGACCCCTGTACTTTAAAGGAATATGCCCAAGTTTTTTAGCTTAATCTATATGTGCATCATTTATACTGTACCTTTGATTACCATGGACAGCAATTGAGACATTTCCCTGTACTTAAAAAAAGCTAAAAACACTCTAGTGGGCAGTTACTGAATTAAGCACAGAGAAACATCAAAAATATCAACCAAAATCAATAGATGTGCCACGCAGAGATTATCCTAAAAATGCTGAAATGCCTTTAAACAACATAATGAATTGAAATCTCATTACCACGATTTTTTTTTTGTCTCAGTGGTCAAGTACTGGGTCGGCGCTCTTTCGAAGGACGGATATGTGCGTGCCCGGGCCGAGACCGCAAAGCAGACGAGGATCACTTCAGAGAACAGCAGGCGTTGAACGAAAGTGTGGCCAAGAACGGCAATGCCAATAAACGCAGTGAGTCAGGCATCCTTTTTTGGTGGGGTATTTCAGCCTTGTTTAACCCCTTTTTTATCTGCAAGCTCATTATTTAGTTACTAACTTTAAGACTTACTAATTAACTACTATCAGTTTTTAACATCTATTATGAAACTAATGTATGAATTCTATAGTTATGTGAGTGAAGTGAATGAAATTTTCCAATAATAGAAATTACTATAGTCTATAACATTTATATAATATGTCTTTGTGTACTTTGATGCATTCAGATTAATTCCACAGTTAAATCAATTTTTATTCTGACAACCTCAAATACAAGATATCTAGATGATAGTGACAAGCTAACCAAATCCCCTAAAAATACATCTTAAGCACCCTTTCTGCATTTGACCATTCCATATTCTTTCAGTTAAACCAGTATGTTCTTACTCAGTTCTTCTTAATCCCTAATGGAATTTGTGTTTTGTATTTTACAGACTTCAGACAGACCCCACCCAACATTCCAGGCCCTTCTATCAACATCAAAAAAAGGAGACATGGAGAAGAGGAGATGTACTACATCCCAGTGAGTGCAGAAATTACACAACAGGCCATTCATTACAAAACGTATATAATATGCTCCGTTATGTAAGTGTGATGTACCTGAGTATACGTATGTATAATGGTGTACAACATTAGTGAAAATTGGAGGACTATGGTCCTATTCAAGCAGGATTAGTTTTACTTTGGAAGGTACTATGGTACAATAATTTAAGCAGTCCATGATTTTAATCCAGTGTCTGTAGTATTTACAAGTCTGACAGCAATAACTGACTAAACCTGGAGCTTCCATAGTAATAGAATCAGCTTAATAATGTGAGTAATAACATAACAAAACATGCGAGTAATAATGTGAATAATAACATAACAAAACTTGGTATTAGACACTACTAGTACTGTGTTGTTATTGTTATTGAGTGTTGCATCTGTCGCATGTACCTTTAGGCTGTAAAGTGTCAATCTGAACTATATAAGATAATGTGGGGAAATTGCACAGATTCCAGATTCTTAACAAACTACATTACAGCTCCAGTAGCGCTGACAGTTGATAGTTGTTGATAGCTTACATGGTTTGTGGTTCTTTGTGAAGTTTCTGTGTCTTTGTCATGGTGAAATAACATTTTGGTGATGTGCAGGTGCGAGGCAGGGAGAATTTTGACCTCCTCATGAAGATAAAGGACAGTTTAGAGTTAGTGGAACTGGTACCACAGCAGTTAGTAGACTCCTACAGGCAACAGCAACAGCAGCTACTGCACAGACAGTAAGTATATACACACAAAGACACACTACACAGCTGAGATATTCATCCTTTTATAAGGCAGATGCCTAATGCTGTCATATTACTTGATGAGTAATGTAAAGACAACACTCCTACACTTAAATTCACACGCAGGCCCAAACCTGCACATACATTCAGATGCCCATTCTTTTCCCTTGACACATCCATTTTTCTGTTCATTGTGTGATTCATAGGGGTCACGTGACCTCTCCATCTTCTTATGGAACATCACTGAGCAACATGAATAAAGTCCATGGAAACATCAGCAAGCTTCCCTCAGTCAACCAAATAGTGGCCCACCAGACACAGCAGAGCGCAGGGCCCTCTAGCATGGCACACATGGGTAAGAGGCTTTGTTAATACACCCAGTCAGAAGAATTTGGAAGAATTTATATTACTCAGATTTCTTGAAGTTTTTAAAATTTGCTTTCAACTTATTTACTTAACCTGTTCATGCTTTTAGCTATAGCCTCCTGCATGAATATTAGGGATACATTAACACATTGGCCCAATATGCTCCTTTACTCGTATTTGCCCTCATAAAAATGCACCAATACCATCATCCAATGCCACCTGATACCATGAGGTGTAAACCGAGTGTACAGCATCGCACAGATGAACAAACAAGTCAAGCTGGCAGTGAATAAAGGTCTGCTCTCACAGTCGGAAACAAATTTGGACAGTCGGACATAAAGTCGTTGGCCATTTTAAACATTCTGTTGGCCATTTTAAACACACTGTGCAGTTTTGGCCCGTCTTTAAGCACACAAACCCACTTCTCCAATACAGGTGGAGACACGTAGGCTAGCCAAACAGAAGCAAAAAAAAAGATGACATTTGCGATACTAAAGTCCATATAGGTATAGACATTAATGTGTTGTATTTTAATTGTCTTAATAAAATAAGCTGTAGAGAGACCATATTGTCCTGCCCATATACATCATTGCCTGATTTAATTTCAGTGCACAAGTTCGCAAAGTTGCTGTAGCACAGTCTCACAGCGTGTTTGCTCTGTACTTGAATGTGCAGAGTGTTGTTTTGAAAGAAACAGCTTTACAGGAAATTGTCCATAGACAAAGCTGTCGGTAGGGGCATTAGCCTTGGATGTGATTCCTACTGTCACTGTGCTACTGACAGTTGTTGAAAAAGACAGGCGGGGATCAAAACTATGAAACACCTTACTTACAGCTGTACAGAAGCACTGACTGTGTTTGATTGGCAAAACAGTCATGTAAAATGCGACCATTATGATTTGACATTGGTGTGGGGATGTGACAAACAGACAACACCAATCAGGGTGAAGGACGATCAATCTCTATATAAGCGAAACATACAGAATGTACATTGAGTTAAAATGATTTAAAAACATAACATGAAGACTGCAGGCAAATGTAACAAAATGTCTAAGTACTCTTTTCCTTTACCAGTATACTTAAATAAGAGTGTAAAGTGTCTGCCACTAAAACGACTCCTACAAGTACAATTTATTCAAAAAGCTAAGTAAATGTAACAGTGTATATGCGTGTTAAAACCCACCTCTGTTTTCTTGACATTTCATGTATAAATCTGTGAAGTGCATGAGGTCTTGTTTAAGAATTTCTTGCTATTTGAACATGATACATATACATGTATGTTCCCATAGGTGCAAACATGCTAGGTGGCCACCATATGCAGTCAAATGGTGATGTGAATGGAGCACACTCAGCCCAGTCTATGGTTTCTGCATCTCACTGCACCCCTCCTCCACCCTACAACCCAGACCCCAGCCTCGTCAGGTACTTCACCCTGCAGTAGCACGGCAGTCTTTCACACATGGGTACACACAAGCATACATGTAAAACACAAAAGCGGCAAGTCAAGTAAATCTTTGATCCTGTAAAGGCTCAAAGCATTTCTCTACTGACACAGAAGGCTTAAGCTGTAAATTATGTTTCAGTTTGTTGAGCCAAAACATACCTGTTTCTAGGGGTGGGCAATACGGCAAAAAATACTATCAAGATACTTCAAGACATTGTCACGATACATGATATTCATCACAATAATAGTTCAGTTTTCTGAGATTTAACAAATTAGAACAAACAAAATAGAACCTGTAGTGCCACATTAAAAAATACAATAATAATAATAATTATAAACCTGCAACTACAACCATTTTTACAAACTGTGCCAGACTAAATCTAATTGAACAGTTTGCTCAGAAAGTGACCTAATTTATCACAATAACAATAAAATATTATTATATAAAATATTGTCATATTGCCCACCCCTACCTGTTTCCATTCATGGTTACAAACCACTGTATTGTCCTTTGTACTTCTATGAGTATTTGTGATGTCGTTTTTGAAAGCAAGACTTGATATTTTCGAGAAATGCAGAACACTTGCGGCTTGCCGCTGTCTGTTAAGCAGAGGGAAAGAAGAAGATACTGACTGTTTTTGAACCCAGTCCTTTCTGTTTACTTTTTTGTACATAATGAAATTTTATGTTTTTTTCTGCTGGTCAGGAAAAAAAGTGTTTATTTGAAAGAAATCACATGCTCAAGCTTTCAGAGGTTTTCTAATGAAAACATTTTGATGTTCCAAGGCTTCAAATATGCTTCTCAATATTGTCAAGTCAATATAGCAAAAAAAAATATTTAGAAAGACATTTTTTTATTTCTTTACGTGCACGATATAGAAATGCTGTGTTGTGTTATATACGTCTAATTTAATGAGCCACATTATTTGTATTAGATTTAAATGGGGTTTGTCATACTAACATCTAGACAGTCATCCCTATTTGCACTGCTTACCCCAAAAATAAAAGAACATAACTGTTAGTGCTAATCTGGCATAAGACATACATAGACAAAATCATTTTTTTAGGAAATATGCTTTATTTCCATGTCTAATCGCAATGCACTGTTTTGCAATTCATTTGTCACTCCATCGAGATTATGTTCCATTTTTTGCCATTGCACTTTGTATATTTCATGTATCTCTGGCCAATTAAAGGTAAAGTCCGCACACACCTCAAAGCTTCCATTTTCTATTGGTCTTCTTGATATTTAGTACATAAATCAAGTACATTAAGGTGCTTGCTCAAGTTGTGATTGTTATATTAAATTGTATACTATGCTATATTAGTATACACAAATATAATTTGTAAAATAAATTATAAAATTAGAGTACTGTTTAAATTAAAGAGATGTAAGAAGCAGATCTTGCTTCACAGGTGCGGAGTCTACCTTTTAAATATTTTGTTACAATATTCATGTCCCATTCCTGTTTTACAATAAAAAAAGTCAATGTATGTAGCTTTCTCACAATTTGTATTTATAATAAAACTCTGAATTCTTTAAAAAAAGTTGTTATGAATCATTAATGTAACAGCATGCACGTGTTTAGTTTTATTTGGTACTTTTACTTTCACACTTATTTTATATGTTAAGTATTATTTCTGTTTATTGTACTTTATCTGCACTTTAGTATTGTGTTAGAAGTGTGAAGAGGGGAATTGGAAGGACTACATTTAATATAACATACTGCTGATCATTTTTGCCCTATTATCTACTGCATATTGTAGAGTGATTAGAATCACAGCCTTATACTGTAAAGTAAGATACTGCTTTGGTCTGGCCGCAATGTTCTCCATGGACAAATTTGTGATTCCCAGGATGCAGCCCCTTGGTCTTAGTGGGATTCCTTTTGTCTCTGAACAGTTTCTTAACCAGCCTGGGCTGCCAAAACTGCATTGATTACTTCACATCGCAAGGCCTCCAGAGCATCTACCACCTGCAGACCCTCTCCATGGAGGTAAATGAAATGAGAATCTAACTGCATTGGGTGATTCATTATTAGATCTGTCTTCCATTGGCTAATGCAGGTAGAAAATTTTATTCACTGTCTACTCATAACAATATGTATGACTGGTCAAACCACTGTGGCTTTTAATAAGGAATCAAGAGCTAAATCTCAGCTAAGTGAAAGCTAAGTTGTTTGTCTATCCCTTAGGATCTTGGGGCTCTTAAGATCCCAGAGCAGTTCCGCTTGGCCATCTGGAGGGGCCTGCAGGACATGAAGCAAAGTCATGATTATGGGCAGCAGCTTATCCGCTCCAGCAGTAACATGGCTACCATGGCCATCGGTCCGGGTGGGGAGCTGCAGCGGCAGAGGGTCATGGAGGCCGTACACTTCCGCGTGCGTCACACCATCACCATTCCCAACCGCGGTGGTCCCACAGGGGGAGAGGAGTGGGCAGACTTTGGTTTTGACATGCCAGACTGTAAGACACGCAAGCACTCCATCAAGGAAGAGTTTGCAGAGGGCGACGTTCGCTGAGAGGGAACGCTCACTCACAGAGACACTGCTGACCCATTTTGTTGTTTCTTTTTCATACTTTGTTGATCCCCCTCAACCCACCCATGCCTGAAATGGACAACTGTTACTTGATTTTAATGTCAATACAGTTGACTTTTTTCATGACCTTACTTTTGCAGGGTACTAACACATGCACAATGCAACAAACACCTTCAAGACCTCCTGTACAGAGTACTATTGTGGGGAAGGGGAGAGAACTTTTAAACTGTAACGTCTATGAGCAGATTGGCAGAACATGTTTTAAACAACATCTATTATTATGAGTTGCTAGTTTATTGGATATACTTACCTTATATCTTACACTAACTGGACAATTTGTCTGTTACACCTACCACATGAGTGCATTTTGTAGGTTTGCAGTTACTGACCACCTGTTGCTGCACATTTTGTCAGCCATTCTCTCATTCCCCATCCACCAATGAAAAGGACCACCACATAACCACAACTAACCAGATATTAGTTGGATGGTGGACCATTCCAAGCACAGTAGCAGCACCACCATGGTAGTGGCTGTTGCACTGGTATGAGTGTATTAGAGTTTACAACTTACTGGCCACCTATTGCTGCAGAGTTTGTGCTAGTCATCCTCTAACCCTTTATCAGTGGTTAGTTTCTGACCACAGCACCATTGTTGACTAGATATTTTTGGCTGACAGATTACTCTCAGCTCAGCACTGACTCTTTGGTGTTTACAAATTCAAACAAAACTGCCATGTCTGATACATTTATACCAGTGCAAGGCCCACTTATGTGCCTCTACCATGATGTTGTCACTTCTGTACTAGTCAATAATATCCGGTCAGCAGTGGTGGTCCCTTTTCAATGATGGGGTAGAGGGTCGCTGACAAAATTTTGTATAGCAGCAGATAGCCTACAGTAAGTAATTCTAATCATATAGACACAAAGTGCACCTGCATTGTAGGTGCACCTAATAAAATGACCAAAGGCTGTAGATAAAAGGTGATTGTACCTGATAAACTGGCAACTAAATTACATTTGTATTACATTCAAAATAGGACAGGTAGGAAGGTAAAAATTCACACTGAGTGATATAAAAGGTACTGATGGTTTGTGCCACTGAATAATAAGGGTTGCTTTATACACTTGACTTAAAGACAATGTTTTGACCAACAGAAAAGTATATAATGGCCTATCTGAACATAAACCCATAAATCATAAAATCATAAATTATGCTGTTTCATATCATGTCAGAATTAAATTGTCAGGCGTAACTCATCATCAGTAATACCAACACTTTGGTGTAAGACAAAGTTCTGAGCTCAGAGGGTCCCTAGAGTAAAATGTCTTTAATTACAATTATATAACAGTGTCATATATAGTTTTTAACTTGTAAGTATTTTTAAAAATATGTCTGTTGTCACAAATACGTGGTGATGTCATAACATCACAAATGTACACGCTAAATCAGTTGTACATCATAACAAGAAAGTAATCCATACAAGACCTACATTTAGAGGGTGCAACATTCACTGGAATCCACCACCCTTGCATGAATCCTAGTATTAAGTGTTACGTTGTTTACTTAGCATTAAATGTATATTACAAGACACAGGATAATTAAAGGATTTAGAAAAGAGTTTTGAAAAGCATTTAAAACAGTGATACCCCAAAAACATCTCCAGTTCTGTTGTATTAGCCTTGCAGGACAAGGTTTATATATCATGCCAAACTGTTCTAGTTTGTTTTCTGAACCAATTTGCATGTAGTCTGTAATTGTTTTAATTGGCTGTACAATACTGGAACAATAAGATTAATACAGATAGAATCACATTAATATTTACAAAAGCCCAGGTATTACTAAGTTTTGGGAGACATTGTGCTGTATGCTTCGATTTACCATGTCTCATACTAGATTAAACTTACTTTGTTATGTACATTTACTAAAAAAATGACATTGATTCCAACACATATTCCTTAAGTGGACTTTGGATAGAGAAACATTAAGTGGTCACACAAACAAGCATTTTAACTGTTCAGTTGCCACACAATCCCATCTATCTGTTCTGGTTTAGATAACAATGATGGATGAGTATAGCTAGAAGATTGTACTGGTAGAAAACATTCATCTAAAGTAAATTAATTTATGTACGCATTTGTGAAAAGTAAAATAGAAATGATCTTCCCACATCTCTTACTCTAATATTCCATGGTTAGCCTGTTTCACTAATGGGTGTAATAAGTGTAACAGTTCACAGTGGTCAATGGGTTTTGGAATTGGCGATGGCTAAAATCCATATACCAAAGCACTTTATTGCTTTTGTATATTGTAAACAATGTAATATTTGGATTGATTGTGATCAGTATTATGTCATGTCACTTACAACAGATTTTATGAATGTTTTAAACTTGATGTGTTTTCTTAAACAGTGATGTCCATTTTTGTTTATATTCACATTTATGGAACATAATGTTTATGTTTGAATTCTGTAAGGTGTTTTTTTATGAAAATTAAAGTGTGTATTATACAAATTGTACCTGCTAAAAACTTAGGATCACTGGTACCACAATACATAAAACACAACCTCTGCAAAAGACGCCACACCTGGGCCTCTGGTTGGAACAAATGTACTGAAATGTCATCGTGATTCAGCAGCACTGGCCAGCAACAAGAGCAGTAAGTTAGCTTGTTCTCAGAGGGGGGAAATTTCAATTGTGATGTTTCTAGTGGGATATATGGCAGTGCTAACAGTATATTCAGATAATGTTTTACCAATAGAGAAAAAAATGAAGGAATATGTAATATGTCAGGAAAAAATAAGTTAACAGTTTTTGCCACTAGTTTGAAGCAGTTCCTAATATTATAGGATTCGCTGCTTAATGTCAAAAGCAACTATGTGGAAAGGTGTAGGCTGCAATCATGCCCCTCTCAACAATCCTCCTATCTTCAAATGATCAGCCCTACCCAACCACGCCTATATCAATTTATCTTAGAGAACAGGTTTGCCGTTTTTAACCCAGGTGTTTAACCCAGACCTTATCAAAATTGTTGCTTTCCATTATCTGTAGCCATGCACAACACTAACTCACCAATGGCTTTAGTACTGGGGATCTTACTGCTCCTCCTTAGATTGTCACTAAATTACTCAAATACTAGAATAACTAGAATATAGTCATAAGAATCTTTGGCCGTTTCACCAAAAAATGCTACAAATCATGTTTTCTAACAGATTTTATTCACTTGATTTTGGATGTCTGCATTCTATTGGCCATTAAGCCATGCTGGAGGCAAAAAAGGTGTGCTCCTACATTTGTTTGCGTGACTGCAACAATTGCAAAAGGACAATGTGAATTAATATTTCAAATGCAGCAATGAAGTGTATAACTGTTTATACAGCATAACTAACATGGGTGCTGAACTACAGAATACAGTGAAAGTCTAGTTTTCACCTACAAAACCCTTAAACATATTCCACACAATTCTGTATAATTTCTACTCAACTAATTTCAACATCTCATAATTGATGTCATGATTAGTCCTCATCACCAAGCCAAGTCATGTAACAAGCATTTATTATCTAGTAACTAGTTACTAGCTTCAAGTAAAACCATCAGCAAGGTTGCACTATGGACAATTACAAATTTCCTTAAGCTTATTTAACTAACTGTATAAATTCTTGCCACATAATTTTTCTTTGCAGAGGTTTGCCATTTTTGCGGTTTTAATTTTTAAGCTGGTTACTGTATATTTTTTTGTGTTTTGCCCTAGTTTTATTTTTCATTCTCCTTTAAAAAAACATTTTGCACTTACATCTATGTTGATTGCTTTTTTACCAGCTGGATGCACATGCAGCCAACATCAAAGCTAACAAGTCATTTTAAAGATGCACTTTCAAATTTTATCCAAATGAAATGTATGAAAGGACAAGCAGTGTTCAAGCTTAAAAGAAACTGATTTGAAATAAGTGCCTTAAATTGTGATTAGAGTTTCATTACAGTAATATGAAGGGCCCTGTTTCAATGTCTTGCACTGCAATCCATAATACAGGGCACCATAAGAAGCTCATATTCACAGTGTAAGGAATGCTGGATGTGTGAGGACATGTCTTTCAAAGGATAAGGGCAGTGAACTCGGGGCTGATATTACTGCATATAAACTTTCCTATTTTCCCAGCATTTTACCCAGTGATGAGCTTTTTCAAAGTATGTTTTCATTTCACAGATTCTAGATATATGTAATTTTTCCATTTCCCTTCACTCTTATACCTGAAGGACTCCAGAAGTGATTGACAGCTTTACATTAAAAGTATATCTGAAGGAGATGAGGAACCTCTCTACTGAATATAGCAGCATCTTATTAAAAATCTCAGGAGCAGTCTCTCTTATTCTATACTGTCACACATGAAACTCATGCAGCCCTTTTCTACAGATTTAATTAAAGAGAAATTACTTTTTGAGACTCATGATATCATTAAGAACGAAAAAATGTGACGGAAAAAATATGGTGTTTTGCATAAGTAAATAATGTCAGTAAGCCAATTAAAGGTCTGTGTAAAAAATCAATGCATTATAATATCACAACATCTAAGTTTAAAAACAGTATCGATACATGGAGGCCCATAAATCTATATTTTTTATTAATATTTTTATCTGTTTTCCATTGTCAGACTACTAAAAGTATTTCCATCTTAATCATCTACTTGAAGTCTTTTTAAATGTTTTAAATTTGTCTACTTCACAATTCTGTTTTTCTTCAATAAAAAGACTAATGTACATTTACTAAATGTGATCTACACTCCTCAGAAGACCTGATCTGACATAAGGGGGAAATTATCAATTCTTCCTACAGCTAAATCAGAGGCAAGAAACTGACTATGCAATGCAACGAGGAAATCCAGAGCAAATTAATTGTCACTCTAGGGCAGTTTGCTAGCTAGCTAGCTACCTAAGTTAGCTATTATAAAGCAAATACAGAATAAAGGTGAAAAATAACTTACCATAAGCGTTATCAGAATTAGCTTCATTTGATGCCACTCTGCTTCCTACATCTAAAACAAAAGATAACACGTATTAGCGTCGTGTTAGCTTATTATGAAATTATACTAACATAGCTAGGTTAGCTGGCTAGCGCTATCTTGGCCTGGAGTCGACTAACGTAAACATTGTTAAGACACGACCCAGATGGCGCAGTCCAATCTTGTTTAAACATAGGGAAAATAACGATAAATTAGCATGAGCTTAAGTTGACTGTTAAAGTATGTTTCTCAAATAGGACACGTACGTTGAGCCTATTCATATGTTTCAGAAAAAATCCAAGAATAACAAGAAGAACTAACGTTAATTTTCGTTTTGTACGGCGTTCACATGACCGCTAGCCAGATCCGTCGAGGCTCCGATTAAACTTAAAGTTGAAGTGACCGTTGAATCTGGCTCGCGCTGAACCGTTGAGGTTCCCGTTGAATTTCAAATTTTAAATGAGTGATTGTGCGCGCGGCGGGCAGTAGGGTGCAGAGGTGTTGAAGTGCTGAAACACGTTAACTCCTTACACAATATTATAAGATAAAGCTAAACTACGCCGAGGAAATACATTTATAATGGACTACCCTGCCTGTCAGGCTATTTGCCGTAATAATCACACAACCAGTAGGTGTAAAACAGTGGCAATAGCCCCAGCTGCCCTCATCAAGCAAAATAGCAGTGTCTGTCAGACTGGCACACATAGTCTTACGGATTAATGATGAGAAGTAACTTAGTTAGCTGGTTGCAAAAGAAACTTTTCCCCATGGTATTAGTGGTCATAGTGTTAGTGTGTTTAGACGTTCCTATGTTTCAAAACATTTTCAGAACCAATAATGCTAAATCTATGCTGCAAGCAAGCAAGCACCTATGCATTGAAACTGCAGCATGGAAGTATTATTAACGTTCAGCAGTATTATATAAAAACACCAGCTACTCAAACCATAGGCTCTTTTGCCAAAGTAATGTAACTATAATGTTTGACAAATCTTGCTGATATGTGTGTGGGGTTTTGGCAAGGTTGCAAGTCCTCTGATGTCAATTCTGTATTAGCAGTGTTAGCTTGCATGTAGCAGTATTCATAATTTGACCCCTTAATGACCTCGTAATTCCGAAGACCCAGTGAGTCTTGGAGGAAACATTTATTTACAGCAAAAGGTATTAGTTTTGAAACTTTTTGTTTATCACAGAGATGGCAGCTATTTTGGAAAAACACCTTTTATTTCCCCATAGAGAAATCAGCTTAGACCCAGAGTTCCTAACATGGCCATGATGCCAACAACAGAATGACAACACAACTTTAGAGGTCTGTTACAGACATTGGACCTCATTCACCAATGTCTTCCTTTTTTCTTAAATTTATTCTTGAGAAAGGTCTTAAGAAAAAGTCTTTGTCAGATTCATGACGTGTTTTTAAAGTGCACAATTGTTCGCAACTTTGTGTTCTTGAGTGTGTGTAGATTCGGTTCTGTTCTAAGAACAAGTATCAAATAAGAAAACATTGGTAAATGTCAGAATCTTCATGAAAAACTGCATAAGTGGGTTTTAAGAAGACATTTCTTCTCAAGGACAGTTGGTGAATGAGACCCAGTTTGCCACAGGGATGGCTGGATCAATGTTGAAACACTGAGTGTGTTTACATGCACTTAATAATCTGATAACTGCAAAATATCAGATTTTGTGAGTAATTCATTCAACTTGTTTGCATGCATGTAATCAGATACTGGGAGAACTCTGGATCTTCATTAGCTAAAATCCAGCACTCTTTATTGGATTTCTTAAGCAGATTTCTAGGCCTGAATCTGATCTGAGAAATCAGATTATGGTGTTTACATGACCATTTGAATAATCAGATAACTGCCAAAATCTGATGATCGGATTTCTAAGTGCATGTAAACACACTCACTGATACTCACTATGGCATTTCTGTATGAGAATCAATGATCACGATAAAATGTTTATACCATAACATGTTTCCTTTAAGCAATAAACTAGATATATCTTTTTAAGAAACAGAATATGTATTTGATGCTGGAAAAGTAAAGTTTGGGTAGAAACTACATATATGTACATAGTTATATATACTTAGTTCAATCATTGTAGTGATTATACCACATTGAAGTCGTTCAATCATACCACTTCAATGTGGTATTGAGGCAGGAGTGTTTAGTGTGTTTCTTGCACGCTGTGTTTTTGCATGTTTTGCATGTTCGAGAAATGGGACACCAGTGCACACTTACTGAAAAGCACATTAATACACACACACACACACACACACACACAGGTACACAAAACTGCAAGTGTGAACCTTGGAAGAACCTAAGAGTGAATGCTCTATAAAGGCATGTAGAATTTAAAGCTAAATGAGGCACTTTTGGGGGATTTGGGGACCTTTCTGTTGAAAATGTGCAGAAGAACATTTTGTAAAGTCAAGTCTGCTTTGGAAGCCTTCCCTGAGGGAATGAATGTGATGACTGCAAACATGTTGAAAGAGTATTCAAAGAGAACTCAAGGTCAAAATGATGTGAATTATGCACTGTTATCATCATATCTTCACCAGTATGCTGTAATGTTTTTTTGCATTTGAGACCTAAACATTAAGTTTCACCTTCTTTATGAGCCAGTAAAGACGTATGACATGGCCTGAAGAATTTCTTTGAAATTGCCCCAACGCCTCTGACTTTTAAATTTTTTATTTCAGACTCTATTTTTAAAATATTTTATCATGTTTTTTTTCTCATTCAGTGATGCTGTTTCTTTCAGTTTTAACAAAAATCTTACATAGTACAGCTTTAAATATGGCATTATTTCATGTTTCCAAATACTTTTTTTATTTTAGGCAAATGCTTTCAAAACCATTGACGTCTATGTGAACTGGTTTTCACTGTAAAAATCACAAAGAATTATATTTTAACGTGCACAAGGATCGATACTTTTAAAAGTATCGGGATATTATTTTTGATGTTGTTATGTATCGAATCAAAAAGAAAATCCGTGATGTCGCCCGTCACTGTCGTTAATTTGTCCAAAGGTCTCTGCACTCCATTGCTTTAGTCTTTAACCCAGTACCGCTCGCCCTTACGGAAGCACTGACGTGTTCGCAGCAGAGCAGCGCGAGAGGCGGACAGGCAGCCGAGAGTGACACAGCGGCGGCAGCACCGGGTAAGAAAAGGTACACCTATCGTTGTGTTTCTGTGTTTATAATGTGGGTAAATCTTGAAACGTTGCTTATGTGTTTTAACGTGGCACAGTGATACGGACATTTTCAGTCTGAATGGAGAGCGCGCTAGACTCTTCTGGCTATTCTCAAACGTTTTTCATATCAATTTCAACCGGAAGTGAGTTGTCCAGTTTTATCGTCTCCCTGGTCTTTGTAGTTCTGCTCCAGCATCTCTTACCGCACGTAGTCGTTTTATAAACTACACTTAAAGGGTTTCGGTTTGAGCGAATCAACTATTTCCATGCCGTGGTGCACAGTGGGACATGCGGTTCAAAAGCGAACGTCCGATAGCTTGTGGAGATCAACGAGTTTGACGAGCAAACTACATTTCCCAGCTTGGCCTCTTTTAAGGCACCACATAGCTGGCTAATGCTATCTAGCTAAGTAGCTCGGGAATAAGTTAGCAAGATGTTTTACAGAGGTTTGCTGTGCGGTTTTTAGCGAGTGTATAGGTGTTTTGTTGTAAACGTGAAATGGAAACGAAGTAGACGCCACAAATTGTGCTTTATACGACTGGTAAGTTAAATAAATAACTCTGCTATAGTAGAAGCAAACAGCATAATGACAGTAGTAACCAGCTAGCTTAGCTATTGCTAACACCTCAGAATCTAACGCTAGTTAGCTACCGGTACACACTGCGATGCCCTCGGTTTGGTTGCCTAGAAAACGTAGAATTGTAGCTAACACGCTAGTTTTAATAAATTAGCGCAATATCCTGACATAAAACATGAATTATAACCTGACTACTTGTCTTCCCCGCTATCCGCGCAGAACTGTTCGGGTTTTTGCCCATTTTCTTATTCATTTTCATTAACCCAGCCCACGGCAGCTGAATTAGCTTAGCTAGTTACAGATCGAACAGCTAGTCAACCTCCCTGCAATGGTCAGCTTGCGAAATCGATAAAATAGATCATTGATTGAGTGCCGTGTAAATAGCATGGTTAGCTGAATCCTAATATTTCTGGATTTCCCATGGCCGTGGTTGAGACAGAGTTTATAAATTTAGTCATTTATTAGTGCAGTTGAATAATCCATGCATTTCTGTTAATTTAACGTGGCCTGGAAGCGTTTTAAGTAAATCAACCCAGCTAACTAGTATGGATTTTTGTTTTCTGAGTTAGTCTGTAGGGCTGTATGATGTTACGTCCATCGTTTTAGACGATGGCATTTCGCTTCAGTAACTTATCATTCGATTTGGTTCCTAAATACAACGTAGTCTTAACACTTGTCCTTTGAGACGTTGTTCGTCTTAGACTCTCTCTACATATTAGGCCTATTGATAGTATGTTGCTATATCATGCACTGGGTGCACATTACCAGTTATGATGATGTGGAGAGGTCATGTACTTCTGTCTGTCCTAGCAGTTTTTACCATTGGACGTTGACACGTAGCTTCGAGTTTAGTTGTTCTTACTAGACTGTTCTGTTTACTTTAGTGAACAAACTGCAGTTTTTTGAAGCAGAAAACATATTTACTCATTCTGTAATTGTACAATTCAATCATTTATATATCTGATTTGTTTATATTCAGACAGTATGTCAGAAGGAGACAGCTCTGGTGAATCCATCCATGGGAAGCCATCGGTCATTGCTGGCTTCTTTACACGTCTTGGGCAGGTGAGGTTGTGATCCTGTACTGAAATTCAAATATCCAGGTGTAAATGGTTAAAGTAACTGCTCTGATATGTGAATAATAGTGTCTGTTAAGTATCTATAAGTATAATTTTGAGAAGAGTATACAATAGTTGTAATTCTTCACTTGCATTCCTTCTGTGAAAATGATGTTTTTGTCTTTGTGTGTTGTAGATCTATCAGTCATGGTTGGACAAGTCTACTCCATTTTCAGCAGTCCGATGGGCAGTCACTCTTATCCTTACAGCCATATACATGATCAGAGTGTATATACTACAGGTAAGAGACCTGGCAACGTATCTTATTTTGTTATTAGTTTCATGGTCATATTTTAGATTCTCACTTAACACGCTTTTGAGGTACTCATCCTTTCTGTGTTTTTGTGTTTTTCATGTTTTATCTGCTTTGGTATGGGGAAGGTATGGGATCACTTGTGTGCTTAGATGAAAATTTCAATGTAGTTCAATGCCTGCTGAACACTGAAAAAATTATCGAACAAAAATACCTCGTTGTCTGTGTGCAGACATATTTAGTATCAACTGTAAAATAAAATTTAATATTTTTTAAACATAGAATCATGAGTTTATTATTTTTGTTTCTTTGTCTCTTTGTCTTCAGGGGTGGTACATAGTCACATATGCTCTTGGAATCTACCATCTCAATTTGTTCATCGCTTTTCTCTCTCCAAAAGTGGACCCTTCGTTGCTTGATGATCCAGGTTTGTTACAATGTGGCTGCAGCTGATTGCTTTTCACAGACATGATAGTAAAAATTCAGTTCTTCCGTAAATGCTCCACCACATGATCCGCTATTATAGAGGGTGATTCAAAAAGATTAATCCGATTTCAAAATGATTTATTTCACTTGTAATTCATTACAGAATAATGCAGTAAATTGTAAATGATGTAAGTGAGCATAAAGTTTGTTATGTAATTTTACAAGTGCTCGATATGACCTCCTTCAGCTGTAAGGACAACATCAATGCCTTAGTCAAATTCATCCCATACTTGATTGAGCATGTTGGTGCTACTGTAGTCACGGCTCTTTCAATGTGATTTCGCTGATCATCCAGTGTTCTTGGGGGTGGTGGCACATAAACAGAATCCTTAACCTAACAAAAAAGTCTCACGGCATGAGATCTAGTAATGCTGGTGGCCTTTTTCTTGGCACTGTTGGTACCAATGGCGAATGCTCTGAGCTGTTGGAGGTTCACTGCCATGCTGACAGTCAGAAATTCTATGACCCCCTCTTTCAATTGGTATGTGATTGGTTCCTAGGCGCCTCACGGTTGTAAAAATATGGCGCTTTGAAATCAGATGAATCTTTTTGGATCACCCTGTATTAAGTGTTTCTTCCAGAAATGTTGTTCTGAGTGAAGGGTGAATGTAATACAAGTTTCTTTGACTGTGGCTCAAACCGACATTGGAAGTGAGCCATCTGTGTAAAACAGGCTTGGACCTAGAACAGCGTGTACAGAGCCTGGTTTTGTATATTAACATTTCTACTGCAGTGAATAGGAAAAGAATATTAGTACTAATGGTCATACGCATATTAGTCATTTGTGTAAAAGAGAAAATGATCTATTGGATATCGGAGGGGGAAAAAAAAGATGCAATCATGTAGCAGATCTAGCCTGAAGTAGCACACACTCACACAGTGTAATGCCATGTTATTAGTTGCGAATCGCTTCCTGTGGGGTACTTCTTTTAGATGTGCATGTTAAAGTGTTTCAGTTAAAACTAGCACGTTTTAAAGCTTAGTATACATTTAAAGAAGAAATATCAGATACGTATCAGCCAATATTCAAGTTTTTAGAAAAGAAAAAATAGTAGCCTGTGCCATCTCTTTTTGCAAATCTTTCATTTGAATAGATAAATTGGTGTCTTAAGACAACAGATGTTTAGAGACAAACTTTCTGTACCTCATCATCATTGTTCTAAAGAGGCCATTATTTTTAGAACCCGTTGTGAGCTTTTGAAGGTTAAGAAATTAGCATCCTAATTTATGGAGTATTCATTGTAAATACTCTTGTCTTTCCATTAGTAAGGACAAAGTATGATGCTTATGAGTCTCATGGCATGTATGCAGTTAGTCAAAATAGTGCATGGTTCAAAGATCCACCTGGATATACAATTTTTAGAAAAAATTTTAGAAAACTGATTGGAAATAACTGTACCAGCTGAAATATATAGTATATAAACCATATTGTGCTGTATATTGTTAAAAAAAGGTCAAAATTCCAAAATCTAGTTTGTAAAATTCCCACATCACTTTGTTATTGTTGCTATGCTTGTCAAACTTTTACCTCATGCCACCTGGTAGCATCTGTAACACTTGTGCTAACAGACTAATAAAGTCCAGTAGCAGAATGGGCTCTACAAGATGTTCAGTGCAGACATATATGTTTGAAAACTGACAAAATACACATATGGGACAATTTAAAGTGAGCAACAAATGTATTCTGGAAACTTTATTTACATTAATCAAACCGGGTAAATTGTTTAGCCACTCGCCATTAAAGCAGAGTAGATTTAGTGACTGAAACTAATCCTTCAGATGAGCTAACGCTGAAGCTAGCACTTGAGCTTGTCAGAGCAGTGTTAAATGCTGTGGGGGCTGGTCATTTTTTAGACAAGGTCTTTCAGCCAACTTTGATATGACAATACAAATAATGGGTTATGTGCGAGTGCATTAATATCTTATTTTACTCAAAAATTTTTAATGACCAACATTAGTGCTGTTCAGTCTTGTTTAATCTGAATGATTTATCAAGCAAACAGTAAATTGACATACACAATCACAATCACCCAGCTAAATCTGATTTAAAATGCCCTTTGCTCACTGATTTGTTAGCTGTTTGGTTAAAATCACAGTTGTGTGCCAGCCAGTTTGGCTACCTGGGCTGCACTGTTTCTGGACTCCAGCAATCATTGCGTTCCACAGAATAAGTATTATAAAACGTTTGGCAGTAGTGAATCTGGTAATATAAATGTTAATGACACTGACATACATGTGTGGTATTTGAATAATGTGCTCATCGTCATACTCATGCAGCTGCCATTTTAGTTTCGGTCAGTTTTATTTTATTACTAGAAGTGGTGGTAAACACATCACAAAGTTCTGCCTGGTATGTGAACTAATGAATAGTGTTTGTGGAAACCTTAAAAACCAGTTTATACAGTAATGTAATTGAGACTAATTGCAAAATATGATTCTGAAGCAATAAGGCCCAGACGGAGTAGTAGTTGTGGGCAACATTTATTGATAGTGATTAATTACACAGTATGCTCTTCTGAGAATATTGTGAATATTTCATTACAAAGAGAACTTAGTTAGACTTGTTTAATTGGATTTAGTGCAGTGTGTTAGACTCTGGATAAAAATTATTGTGTTAATAGTTTTGGTAGTATTTTTAAAATATGGCCCACTGTTTATTTTTCTCTATTCCAACTAATCAAAACCTTATAATTAAATATCTATGTAAACTAAATATCATGCACTGAAAAATAAATAAGTATAAAATAAATAAATAAATAAGTCTTGAAATATCGTGAAGTTTTTTATTTTTGCCATATGGCATAACCCTAGTGTAGGGGTCAGCAACACGTGGCTCTTTTACTGTCCTGTTGCGGCTCCCCGGCAGAATTAGATTTTTAGGTAAAAATAAAATAATCCTCCTTTGCAGCAAAATAAAGCTCTGCTGGTCGTTCTAACACAGTTTTAATAATAAATGGTCTTAAACGCTGGAGTTATATGTATAATTGCTTATAATTATGTAACACAGCAATGCAGACAACAACCTCGCCTAGCTAGCAGCTAATGAAGAGGCAAAGAGAAAGATTTAAGATGAAGTTCGATAATTTGGAGATGAATGGGCTTATTTGCATTTATAATCACTCCAGCTGGATTCCTGATACGTTTAATCTGCAACGAGAAACTGTCAAACACTGAAAAGTCATGAAGCTGAAGTCAGATTCTCATTTGCCAGCTTCTTGTTCGAATTGTCCTGTTCCACCTGGTGCAACAGTTTGCTACATAGTTAGGTACATTTTTGCGCCTCAAGCACCATTTAAGGTGGAACGGGAAAATTCGAACAAGAAGCTGGCGAATGAGAAGCTGACTTCAGCTTCGTAAGAAGTCGAATGTTAAGAGACATTTTACAAAAAAACTGTTCCACGTTTGCAAATGTTTCCTGCCAGAGATGCGAGAAAAGCGACTGTAGCTGAGCTAAAGCTTAAAGCAGAGCAAAGTAAGTCTGCGTTTTTGTTTCTATTATATTTTTAACTTATATTAGGACATTAGCAGATACTGAGACATGTTTACAGCCAAGATGGTAAAATGTTTCTTCAATAACATGGACTTGAAATGTTGTGGCTCCCAGGGTGGTTTGATTTTTGTTGAAACTTGAAAAATGGCTCTTCTTAACATTTGAGTTGCCGACCCCTGCACTAGGGAGTAGCTCCCTTATTGTGGGTGTGTGTGTGTGTGTGTGTGTGGGTGGGTGTGGTTATAGTATTCACCATTTTAGTGAGGAGTAGTGCTTGCTGAACGTACTCTATTTGTTTAATTCTTTCTTTTCTGTTATTTTCCTCTGTTTGTTCTCCCTTTTTCTCAACAAGATGAGGGTCCATCACTACCCACAAAGCAGAATGAGGAGTTCCGGCCATTCATTAGGAGGTTGCCGGAATTCAAATTCTGGTGAGTTTTGCATTCATTTGATCCATTAATTACCAGTTTTTATACTGAGTATGTTTTCATTTCTTCTTTTGGACAGAAAAGAAATTGTTCCAACTACTCTGAATGCTCTGACTTCTCACAAAAAGCATGCTTATTCATTTGACTTCACTAATGTGTAAAAAGGTAATTGAAATGTGTATGAAATATAGAAAATACAGGGAGATTCACTCGAAAGAGGCCCCGGATATTCTGGTGTAACTCCCATTAGGATGAAGAAATAAAGAAACGCTGAATCTCCGTTTTCTGCCAGACACATGAAGGGTACGGGGCTATACACCCGGAAAGTGAGAACGGAGGTTACACGTCGCGACGGCGCCTAGATCATCGCTCCGACGCAGGGGCATCCCGGCTTGTTCGAAGCTCCATATCCTGAGGAGCACATTGCACGTTGTTTCGTTCAGATTGCTTCATCCTAGCGAGAGTTATTACAGAATATTCAGGGCCTCTTTCGAGTGAATATCCCTGTAATTATTACATTTATTAATTATAACTAATTGTATGAAAAAACACTTGTCTATGATACCATTTTCACCTGATAAGATTTTAACCACATGTATTTACATTTGGTCAACAAATGTGTCTCCATTTAGTCAGACTGGGATCTGATTGCTGTGTTGCATAGTAGGCAAATCAGCTCACATACAGCAACTAATTGAATTTGGGTTTTCCTCGTGTTTCCTGCCTGTTAAAAAAAACGCTGCCACCTCGAAAAATCGCAATTCTTCATTGTCTTAATTATTTCCTTACACTGACTTTAAGGCCTGTTCAAACGATCAGATTTTCATGGCCAAATTAAAAGCTTTGAAAATGACCATGCCATGCTTTCACATCAAGTCCAAAACTGACGGACAGCTGTTTGAATTTTTAAATCAGAGCCAGCTCAATTTGCTGTGTTGTACAGATGCAATAAAAATCAGGCTGTCAGAGCCAATCAGAGCTCCGTTGTCATGGTTGCAGGCGAAGCCAATGTGAATCACAATGGCAGCAGAACAGCTTGTCTTGTTTGCAGCGAGAATAAAAGATTATACAAGCAACACACTGGCTATTAAAATCTGGATGTTAAAGAAAGTATATGGCATATCATAGCCAAAGGCTAGGGAATAATGGTGAGTACCTAAATAAAACATAGTGACTGTTTATAGGCATTTATTTATACAACTTGGTGTATTGTTCATGCCCAGTCTTTTTGTAAAATGGAGTGTATCCAGCATGCCTTTTAGTTGCAGTGCTTAAAAGAAAGATGCTAAATTAACTGTTGCTGCTGCTCAAGGATTCAGACTAAAAACACGCATCAGATTTGATGTGGAGGTCCCACTATGTTAAAAAAAATCGCATTTGTTTTTTTTTCTGTGCAGTGTGGGTGTGAATAGGACCTTACACCAGTGTTCATAAAAAAAAAACGTTTCCAGCTGGTCACAACTGTTCTGAATAAAACATCCCGCGTTAGTCATCACAATCATGAACCACACATGTTGAAATGTAATATTTTAGTGAGACCGTGAATAATGATTAAAGGTTAATCCAGTTGAAGCCTACTGAATTAACCTACTGAGAATCTCCTGTTAAGAGCTGAACTGAAGAAGCAGCGATGCCTCTGTTTAGCAGTGGCAGTTTTTTTTCCCCTCTACAGTATGCAGAGCAGCAGAGGGAAGCGCCTTCACGGTATTGGGAGGAGTTTTGTTTGTCAAATGTGGCTAGGAGAGACGGATAAATTTATGCTTGTAGAACATCTGGCTAAAACACTTCTCCTGAGGAGGTTTGAGTGATTACATTTAAATCTGTTTTAGATGCACCTTGGGTGGATCTACCCCTGAATTTTAATGTGGATAATCTCTAACCTGATATAATCTTAATACTCAAGACTCATGAAATGACCAGGTGTAAACCGGGTCTATATGTATCTTTTATGTCTTGAATAAGTCCTATGCAAGGTATATTTGATTGTGGCCGTGTAGATCTGCACTGGTTTTATCTCCCCAGAGTGTTTCCCACATTGGTCTATATGCAAGCTCATTGTGAAACTGGTCAGTGCCATCTCATTCACAGTGTGGACAATGTGCAGCTAATTGCAGTGGCCGAAATAACAGTAGTTTATTTTCCTTTCTGTATTTGGAGTTTAGACAAGAAGTCAGATGGTACTGGCATGTGTTGTAGACTTTAATAGTGACGTCACAAGAGGACAGAATTATTGTGCTCTATTTAAACTCAGGATCTTAAGTTATGATCTTGGAAAGCTGTTTTATTTGAACTTTTCAAAATATACAATTTTATGTTAACATTCTGGGGCTCAACTTAATATCAGTAAATCTTCTTCTTCGTCTTCTTCGTCTTCGTCGTCGTCTTCTTCTTCTTCTTCGTCTTCTTCTTCTTCTTCTTCTTCTTCTTCTTCTTTTTCTTCTTCTTCTTCTTCTAGTATTGGCGTACTGCAGGGGTGTACAACTCCGGTCCTAGAGGGCCAGTGTCCACCACAGTTTGGAGATTGCCCTACTTAAACACACCCACTAAATTTGGCAGTTAACAGATGAGTGTAAACAGGTTTGTTTGAGCAGGTCAATTGCTAAGCCCTCTAGGATCGGAGTCGTACATCCCTGGCCTACAGCCTCAGAATTGAAGAATTCAGTTGTAAACCATATTCTCCCCACCAGATGGCCCCATTAACCACTGAAAATATGTAGGCTGTAGGACACTGAGAGTCCACTGGGTTTGTTGTAAAAAGAATCTAGTTACTGTTACCTTATTGAAAATATAACAAAAATTTTAGCTGGTGTAGCTAAATGCTTCATTAATCTTCGTGTATTGTTGGGCATTTAGCACTTAACTGAACATGAAGTCCAAATGATTTTGGTGTACATATTTGTCAGTGTTTGTGTTGTTATTTCAGGCATTCTGCAACAAAAGGCATCGTCATCGCCATGATTTGCACATTCTTTGAAGCCTTCAACGTGCCAGTGTTCTGGCCTATTCTTGTAATGTACTTCATCATGCTCTTCTGCATCACCATGAAGCGTCAGATCAAGGTTTGTTACTTGTTACTCACATATTTGTTTTATTTTGTCATGTTCTTAGTAAACTTAAAGCTAGTTTTGAACTGGCTGCGGTGCTGTTTTAAGAGTATACCCAAACAGCAATATAAACAGTTCCATTTTGTTTGATAGATATATTTAGCAGTCCTAAATGGCTCTGATCTTTTTTGTCTTTCTGTCCACAGCATATGATCAAGTATAGGTACCTACCCTTCACACATGGGAAGAGGACATACAGAGGCAAGGAAGACACAGGGAAAACATTTGCAAGTTAAAATTCCCTCTCCTGAAATTAAAGTTGTTGATGAAGAATGGTGCGTGCAGGGGCTGAAGATTTTTTTTCTTGTTTTTTTGGGGGGGTTGGAAGAACTAGGGCTAATTGGAAAAGAGTTTTGATCCATAATGGCAGTGTTGAGTGTGGTCTGTATGGGTTTTTAAGACAGGAATTTTTGCTGCCTTCAGCGAGTTTTGCCAGATTCATTTGAAATTCATGGATGAGTGCAGTGCCTATTTTGCCTTCTATACACAAACTCTGATGATGAAGAAAAGCTTGGCAAATCCAGGCTGTACATTAGGATGATGCTCACAAGTGGGCTACAGAGTCCTGGCTTTTTTTGCATTCAGGTGTAATCAGGGGAACTTGAGCACCTAACTGTTTATCACTAACATGTATAGCTTATTATCTCCTATGTAAGTATTTGAAAGCATTGTATACTAAGACTGTCAACAGTATCATTTTATTAGTCCTAAATTGAAGTCATCTATTAAAAGCCAATGAGAGATGCTGCAAAATTGATCCCTGCTTTCAGCTGCATACTTCATCATCCAGAAATTTCTCAGATTACTACTACTGGAGGGCTTGTTTTAGCATCCTTCATTCAAATGAATAGACTGATTCAGTATTCACATGTATCTGTGTATGAAATTTCTGTGGAAAAAGGAGACACTAGTGAACAGCTAGGATTTATAGCACCTGCTCAGAAGAAAACTTGCTACATGTGAATATGAATTTGCCTTCCTTCATAAATGTGCTGTAGCCATCTATAGTTTGAATTTTGTATATAGTATGTCCCTAGTAACATCAGTCCTAGCAGCTAATTTATTCACAATAGTTTAATACCTAAAATCCCCTGATTTTGAGCACATTGTACATTGATTTTAGAACAGAGATTCATTCCAATGTTAGACTTAATAGAACTGGTTGTACATTACAATGGTTTAATCATTCCAAACAAAACTTTTCTCTCTCTCTCTCTTCTTTTGCAGAGGAAACATAAGAACGTTGAATGCTTTATATGATAAGAAATGGATGGAGAGGGTTGAGACTTTGTTCATGTGTGGTTTTGGTTTGGTATTTTGGGTTTTTTTTTGTTTTTGTTTTTGTTTTAATTAAATGGATGTTGTTCTGAGCCCTAATGGCTAATGTAGAAATTTGCTGACCAGAGGGGTGTTTTTTTTTTTTTTTGCAATCAACACTGTAGATGAGGATCAAAACATTTTTCCTATTAATGTGCTTCATTTTATGGGGGTTTATATATATATATATATATATATATATATATATATATATATATATATATATATATATATATATGTATATATGTATGTATATTTTAAAGGGTAAATTGAGATTATTTTGGATGTTTCTTTCAGCAGGTGATTCCAAGTGTTAAATTCATCTCTTGACATTAAATACATAAATTGGATACTAGATCTGTAAATTTCTCATTGAAGGCATTGCATGTTTTTGGTTAACTTGTGCTGCTGTTCAAAAAAAAAAAAAAAGATTTTAATAACTTAGTGTAAATTTTTCACTCCAGATGCTATTAAAAGACCATGTCCCTTCACCTTTGTCCTCGTGTGTATTTCTTTTTATAAGCTGCATGACAAGAAATGGACCTAAAAATGTCAGTGTTGCAGGTCATTAGATGTGAGTTAGCTTGTAATTGCCTCAATTATACAAATCAGGTGGTGTTATTCTGAGGCTAGTTATCTAATTTGTAATAACATCCAGACAAACACAGCACCTCCCTTCAGTGTTCCTGCATGTGCATACACTGTCTAGGCTAGAATGACTGGTGCTAAAATAAGTTGTATTCGTCATGGTAGATATCAATGAAATTTACTAACTAACTTAACTTTGTATCCTGCAAGTCCATACCCCACTCTGTTTGCTACAGTACTGCACTTGATGCCGGGAAACACCTTACTTCTCTCCATTGTTGGAAAGCCCCATCTGGTCTTGCGTCCAGATCAGTCGTTCATTTTCAGTTTCTGTTCTTCTTTGTTCATGTTTTAGTTTGTTAAGCAGTGTAAGCCATTGTGGGTAGTGATGGAATTGGCCATTTTGGTGTTATTTCTCTAATATGATGAGAATTTGGTCTAATTTGAATTCAGGTTAAGCTTGCCAAACCTTGATTATTCTCCCAAAATTACAAAAAATATCCACAAACCTGGACATGATTGGTGGTTTTCATTGGCATTAATGAAAAGAGCCAGAGTTATCTTGCTTTCTAACCTGCACTCTCCTTGCTGACTCTGTAACATTACACTGGTAGAGGTGGTGGTTCAATGTGGTGTGGTATCTTGTATTATTGCTGTTTGGAAGATAAAAGGAAAATATGTGGCTTGATGGTACAGTAGTGTTCAAAAAAAGCAGTCCAACATCATTAACCTGATAAATCAATGTTTTTGGTAGAAGTGATATTTTTACATAGCAAATAATTTACTTGTAAGTGTGGTAGAGTAATAGAAAAAAACAGACCCTGACAATGAGGACATGCATGCTGCTCATTCTGAGTAATTGAATCATTGATTAAAAGGGACAACATAATAGCAGTGAGGAGTTCCATTGGTGAAGTCATTCATTCTGTGGAACAACAGGTGTCAATTCTGGCCCCATTTAAGGTAGGAGGGTGGCAAATGTTGCACATGTTGGCTATAGTGCATTTCCTTCTGAAATACTGGGGAAATGTTTTGTTCCAGACATTGTTCTGCTGAAGAATATACTTTGATTAAAAAGTTGATTGGAGAGGTAAAACACAGAGAAGTGCAGCAAATTATAGGCCGCTCAGCTAAAATGATCTCCAATGCCTTGAAGTGGCAACCAAACCATGAAAGATGTGGAAGGAAGGGGGAACTACTGTTCGAATGGATCGAAGAATAGCCAAAATGGCAAAGGCTCAGCCAATGATCACCTTCAGAAAGATCAAAGAAGACCTGAAGTGAGAACTGCTACAATCAGAAGACAATTAAGTGAAGCCAAATTACTAGCAAGAACCCCCCTCAAATTCCTGTTGTTGAAAAAAGACGTCCTGAATTGGTTCAAATTTGCCAAGGACAGACTAACTGACCTAAAGAGAAATGGGGCAACATTTTGTGGACTGACCTAAGCAGATTGCTGTAAAAATGCATTCTGGGAGATGAAGAGCAAAAATCATGTCTGATTATACAGTAATTAGCCTTTATCTGCAAAGCATACTGGAAAAGTGACCATTAATTTGTGCAGTTTTGAGCAGCCTGTCTGAACATTGTAGCACTGGGGGGCAGAGCTTACCTGCTTTCCTTGTGGTACTGTTAGCTTCTGTTAATAAGCTTTTATTTTATTAATTCGTTTATTTCACAGTATGTTTGAATTTTTTTTTTGTCATGTTTTGTGTTTCAGTTAACTAGTTCATCAGGGTTGGGATGTAGCAAAATACAAGTTTTGGGCTTGGTAATGGACCAAGACTCAGTTGTTTAGTGCATACCTGACAGGTGGACTGTCCACACCTGTCAAAATGGACTGAACTAAACCAAATGAGTGTGAGGTGCTGGTTGCCAATTGACTTAGACCAACTAGCAGTTTAGCAGTTTAGTTTAGATTTTGAAACAAACATGCCTGTTATCTCTCGGATGCTGCTAAGACCATCAACTTGGGTATTGAAATTCAGTACTAAATAATGGTTTATTTCATTTTTAAATACACCTCTCCCATTTGGAAGATTACAAAGCATCCAGGCCAAGACCTCCAGATTCATGAAAAGCTGCTCTGACTGGTCAAAAAAACAGTGGGGGAGTAGGGGAAGTGGGGAGAGACAAACAAACTGACCAACATTTTTTGGCTCTTTAAATTCAGAAGTGGTGCCTGCACTTAAAGCTTCAAACCTTTCCAGCAGTGCAGTGTGTTTCCTGAAGCTCTCTCCATTCACCTGTAAGTTCTGTCTGTGCTTTCGAATGTGACATACCAGGTATGTGATGCTAACAAACAACTTTTGCATCTCAGCTGGAGTGCTAGTAGACAAAACCAATCTAAAGACAAAACTTTTATGAAGAAAGTTTAGGGTTAACATTTCCCTGGTCATTGTGTGCCCTGTACTGCCTATTCTGATGTTTTCCCTGCTCCCAGTACACCTTTTAGAACAGGGAATGCCCTAAATTGTGCTTTGCAGGAGGACTCCAGTACCAAGACTGGACAGTATCCGAGAAAGCTAAAGTAAATTACTGTTTTTTCCTTACAGTGCTGATTCCAGTTTCAGGCTTGCTCATTTCTGCAGGTAAAATAAATGCACCCAACAGTGCCTTAACACATAAAAGGCTTATGAATGGTTTATTATTTAATGTAATTACCCCTTATGGCAAGGTCCAGTGCCTCCAGTGTGGTGAGTCTAAATATCTTGCCGTCTCCAACAGCATTTAAGCGTATGATATAATGTATAAAATAAAAAAAATAACAATATGATAAAGAAATTAAACATAAAAGGTAACATCTTATTGTTTCATAGTTAGTGAATACAACCCCATTTCCAAAAATGTTTTATTTACATTTGCAAAATGTAAATAAAAACAGAATGTGATGATGTGCAATCCTTTAAAACACTACATTTTACTAAAAACTGTAAAAACACAACATATCAAATTTTGAAACTATACATTTTGAATTTGACACCAGCAACACATTCCAAAAAAGTTGCGACAGGGGCACATTTACCACTGTTTTGAATTAAGTCTTTAACAACACTCTGAGAACTGAGGAGACCAACTGCAGAAGTGAAATGATTACCTCTTTTTGCTTTATATAGGATTTCAGCTGATTAACAGTTCTGAGTCTCCTTTATCATATTTTCATTTCATAATACACCAAATGTTTTCAATGAGTGACCGGTATGGACTGCGAGCAGGCCAGTTTAGCACCCAGACTCTTTTACTACAGAGCCATGTTGTTGTAGTACATGCAGAATGTGGTTTGACATGGTCTTGCTGCATTAAGCAAGGCCTTCCCTGAAAAAGACGTCATCTGGATGGCAGCATATGTTGCCCCAAAACATGCATACATCATTCAACATTAATGCTGCCTTCACAGATATGCAAGTCACCCATGCCATGTGCACTAATGCACCCCTATACCATCATGGGTGCTGGCTTTTAAATTATGCACTGAAAAGCTGGGTCGTCTTTAGCCTGGCGGACGAGTTGTCCATAATT